GCCTCAAAATCCATTAGTTCCTTTACGCCAATACCTCTCGCCAAGTTTGATATAACCAAGTAAGCATATTTAAATTATCCTCCTCGCTTCAATCAAACAACCCCATGACAACTAATTCACATTTGTGCTGTCCCTTTTATATAGTTGATCCAATATTCCCGGTGGATATATATATCTGAATTTTCTTCATCAATATCTTATCATAAATCGATCACCGCACCGGGAGAACCATAAACGATCAGCAGTAAGGGTATTGGCAATAATAAGGACATACATTTGACTGTAAGCCTGAACCCGGTGAAGATATAAAGCGTCTATCACTTCTCTTTTCCCTTGCCTCATCTTCCATCCACAACGCGCTGACATAACCTCTTCCTTTTATTGTAATTGCACTCATTACCATGATACCTAACAAACCCTCGCCACACCGCAACCCCCATACCAAGGCTAGCTTAGATGCCGAATATCTCTTGTTAGGTGGAAAGAAACCCCACGAATTCAATACTAAAAGCAAACCTCCCGCTACTCGAAATCACACTACAGCAACGTACCAACCTCCTGCCGTTACACAACCTACTCAATCTGTGCCCAGCTCTACATCCCAAACCAGAGAAAAATCCACTTCTCACTCATTTAACCCTATTATTACCCTTGACCTTGATCTGTCGACTCTATCTGTTCCCACTTCCCCCCCCGCCCGCCGAGTCCCCAGATCAGATGGATAATATGTTTGGACACCCGTCAGAATGCTCCTTGCTTGGTCTGAACAACGATTTCACACCATTGGAAAATTCTTACCTTCAATACGCCGGTGATGGTCAACTCAATGGCCAATTTTATCAGCCAATCGATCACTCTCCTAACCCAAGTTTACAACCAGTGCCCTTGAGTCAAGTAAACAATGCTCTACCTGCGCCAACCCAGCAAGCCTCCCCAAACCCGACCGAGTCAATCTCTGGCCCAAACCCGACCGAGTCAATCTCTGGCCCTCGATCTCACATAGATGTTGATCCTGCCCTATCTGGTCTTACCGAGCCCAGTGATTCAAGTCCAGCCATTCCGTCTCACCCTGCCGATAAACCGTTACCAACTGACGACTCCCACCAGGCTCCACATGAAAGCCCAACCAAACCCAAGCCCCCACCACGTAAAACGATGGCACCTAACCAGGTTCAAAGAGCCCAAAACATGGATCTTGACGAGCTCATCAAACTCGTAGCCTCTACGGCTCAATACACGCGACTAACTGCCGAAAACGAAGTCGAACTCAATGACGCCTACATGGAATACCAACGTCAGCTGTATCTGATTGCTTACAAGAACAAACTCGCGATCGCACCGTGTTTACAATACGTTGGTGAAGGAATCAACCCAAGAGGCGCTTCAAATTACAACAATTTTTGTCGTTATGATCTGGTTGCCAGCAAGGTTGCTCAAGACAGTGAGTCATTTCATCTCTACATTCACATTGCTTCAGCTCGATACTTATGTGTTTCAACCGATCCAACTCACAGAAACAATGCATGTGGAAGATCGTATGCGTGAACTCAGTAGACTCTGGCACTTAAATGACGACACTGCAAAGGAACAATGGAAGGATCCCGAATTCCTGAAATCGCTTCCAAATTTTACCGAGGTGAACAAGGATGCATCCACATCTGGCACACAGAAGCACAAACCACCAACCTTTGATGCCGATCGTTGGTCCAACAAGATTGTTGCGGATGTAAGCTTTCACACTGGGCCCATTCTGATCAATTTATGATCGCGAGCTAATTTCTTGTCTCTATCATCACTATCAGTTAAGAAACCTCAGCCGAAGCTCCGGAATTGAAGGATTTTTGGTTGTCGGATCGCGCAGCAAAGATTCTAGTTTAAATTTTCAGGGGGGAAGTCATTTGGGCAAAAGATTCCTTGACATGTACGCCACCAAGGATGATCCTGTCTCCAACTTCATGGATTTCATCAAAGGATTCAAGGTCATTCAGAAGATCACGGGCAGCGAGCCGCCGCCGGTCGTTACAAAAAAGAAACCTCGAAAGCCGAAGCCACGGGAAATCATTACTCCACACGACAAGGGCAGCAGAAAAAAGAATATCAAGTTCATCCGAGACAAACTTAATGCTGCAATCAGTAAGTACATCGCTATGGTGTGTGCTGTCTCTATCGCCAAAAATTGACATCTGGGACCCTCCTTCGATACAGAATTAGCAACTCATGGCACATGGACAAAAGGATGGCCGGGCACCCGCACTCAATGGCAACTTGCCCGACTTAAGGTCACATTACAAGTGAAGCAAGATAATGACCTGAATGTCTCTCCGATTCACTTCTGTCGACGGCCTGGTGATATGTTAGAGATACCAGCTCAAATGGTCGTTGCAGCAATTGAGGAAGATTGGGTCCAATTGATTGGGCCCCCAGCTCCTTCAAACGATAGCGTTGGGTGCGATATCGATAGCCCAGCCAACGCTGCAACAACGACAAACACTGCGACAACGACAAACACTGCGACAACTACGGTTTCAGTTGCCCAATGTGCCATAGACAACCTCCCTATCAAACAAAAAAAACGCAACACAGGCCCCGCTACCTTGAAAGCCAACCCGCCGAAAAAAAAACAGAAGCGTGCAAGCAATCAGGAGGGGGAGGAGGAAGAAGAAGAAGAGGAGGAGGAGGAGGAGGAGGAGGAGGAGGAGGAGGAGGAGGAGGAGGATGAAGAAGAAGAAGAGGAAGAAGAGGAGGAGGTGGTGGATGAACAGGATGAATAAAATGATTGATGGTTTTGATGTGCTTCTCATTGGCATGATCATTTGTTTTGTTTCCTTGTTTTATTTTGCACTATCTCTCTCCAAGACTCCAATTTATGTGTTTTGTTTCCTTCTTTCATTTTGCACTATCTCTCTCCAAGGCTCAAATTGTTTCCTTCTTTTATTTTTCACTATCTCTCTCCAAGGATCAAATTTATATGTTTTGTTTCCTTATTTTCAATACTTGTAAAAATATTATTATTGCATGTTTTGAGGTGTGATACCTTTCGAGACACCTGATCTCCTTCCAAACGTGACTCACCTAGTAATATTTTTCTATACAAAACACTTGCATGAATTCTTCACCAATTTTGGCTATAAATTTGAGGTTCCCTGTTGGCTTTTCACAAATTCCTAATATAGCAAAATCTCATCTTACAACCTAAAAAATTTTGAACTTTAAATTAAACACCTTACTTTTGCCATGCCATGGCTTTTGGATTAGAATACCTGTCAAAAGTAGTGCTGCTATCCCTGCACATTTGGCAAGCTCAATGTATGGAAAATATCATTCCAGCCATGTCAAAATGATGGATATAAGTAAGAAAACATTTATCTGGTTTTTTCATACAGATATCTTTTGAGACCTAGAGTATGATTGATTTCCAAAAAAAAATAAACATGTAGATTCTGGACTGAATCATAGCCATCATAATTTGTTTTGTTTCCTTGTTTTATTTTGCACTATCTCTCTCCAAGGCTCAAATTTATATGTTTTGTTTCCTTCTTTTATTTTTCACAATCTCTCTCAAATTTGTATGTTTTGTTTCCTTCTTGTATTTTTCACTATCTCTCTCCATGCAATCAAATGGGAAAATTTTCATTATGCAAGGTCGGAAACATTAGGCCTCAACTCAAGGTAAGACACCTGGGGTCCAAATTAGGATGAAAAAGTGGAAAAAGTGGGAATTTATTTCCATGCCCAATATTGTTATACACATGTTCTTGAAGGAAATTTAGTGGCAACAATTAAATGTAGTGGCAACACTCATACAGTCACTGGACTTTTGTATGTTTTGCAAACACATAGTATGTTTCTCCAAAACATAAATATTTCAGGTGTCCACATGTTGACAATGTGAAATCAAACAATGACAAAGATTCAACTGTGTTCATCAATTTTCCCCAAAACAGAAAGATTTCCAGTGACCACATGTTGGAAATGTGTGATGGGGTTTACTTGAAAACCATCCTGTTCCAAGATTCAATTGTGTTGTATGTTCCTGTTAAGGCAATATAATGAGAAAAATGTCATATGTGGGTTCCACTATGCCAATGGTCACTTGGGGTTTACTTGAAACCCATCCTGTTCCAAGATTCAATTGTGTTGTATGTTCCTGTTTGTGATGTATGTTCCTGTTAAGCCAATATAATGAGAAAAATGTTCCCATGTGTTCATCTCAATAAAGATTCAAATTTGCTTCATCAAGAAGAGAAGGAATTATCAAGAAGAGAAGGAATTCTTTTGCATCCATTGGGGCATGATCCCTAGGAATACATAGTATCTCTCTCAAAAAAATATATATTTCCTGGGTTCCACTATGCCAATGGTCACTGGGGAATATGTAGTATATTTCATAATATTGAACATTGAACAATAATACAAATCCACTAATTTCATGAAAAATTCTATATCTGCAATCCTTTGTCTATCCCATTAGAGAATGTGACCAAAAAGTAACAGCTCTATGCATTTTTGAGCTGGAGGCCTCCACTCCCCTGTGGTTATATATTGATTTTTTGTGTTAATTACCAAAATATCAGTTTAAATATTAGTATTGCAACATTAGTGGCAATGATTGAATAAATCAAATTTAAAATGAGTTTTACATGGTTTTTGTACTTTTGATATGCAAAAGGGTTGGAAGTATCAATGAATTTTGTTTTTGGAATTCAGGAGTGGTTAGTCTTTCTTTCGTGCTCTCTCTCCAGCTCTCACCATTGGTAAATACCGGTTTTTTTACTTCTTTCAATTTTCAGCTCTATCAATCCAAACGCCCACACCCGTTCACCATCCCATTCTTCCATACAATGACCAAACGAAAAAAAACCAAGGAGCCGAACGCACCTCGCTCTCAAAGATTAAGACGCCAACAAAACGCCGCCCTCAATGCAAGTGCTTGGAATCGACTACGACAAGGGGATCAACCAGTTGCTCACGAATCAGACATCATTGAGGATTCTGATTTGATGACGAACCCCTACAACCCTACTCAAACTCAAGATTCCGATTGGCAGGATGAAGAAGTCGCGGATTCTCTGGATGGGGACGGGGAAGAAGAAGGCAATGCCAGATGGGTGACGTTGGACGACGAGGTAGAAGCCGAACAAATCGATCCAAGTATCCACTCAACTCAAGAGCAATATCGTCTTCTTGCCAAGGAATACAACTGGACCATTTTGACAAAAGAACTACACACCTGGTACCTCACGCTCAAATTGCACACAAAGAATTGGTCGGGATCCAATGTGTACGATGAATATACCTCTAGCCACTGTGGATGCTCAGCTCAACAAAAGAAAACTCGACCTATTGACATGGTCGATCTATATGGTATTTTCACCTTACTTGTTGCATTTTATGACCATCCTCCTGACCAATTGTTTGATAAATACCCTGCCAAATAGGTCAAAAGCGGCAGCCGATAGAATTTTGCAAATGCACACACGACACAGTCCGTTTATTGTGGCGCGGATATCTAGCTGGATCGCCATTGAAACCACAAACAGCTTTCTCGCTTCCTCTCCTCATATTCCATAACGCGTTGTGGAACAACTGCCACATTGGTATGTTGCCCTTCACCACTGCACTCACCGAGTTCTTGGAGCCTCGTTCCGAGCGGCTATGTGTTAAGGGGAAAAATCATGTAAGCAATTGACCTATTGAATGGCAAGAAAACCCTGACTGATAGATGTGTTTTTTTATGTAGGCCCGAGATCTGCGAAAGCCTTTCTCAGCGGCAGTAGATCTATTCCGGTTGCTTGAAAACAAGACAGACGAATTGATGGAATCTACATTAAACCTGACTGAAAAAGATAAATTAGCCGCTTGATCATGTCCTTCTTGATTCGGACCAGAACCGCCTAACAGCTCTGATTATCCCGAGTCTATACGTAACCGGCTAGTTGTTTGTCTGGACGGAAATTTCCAACACCGACATCATACCAAGGCAAGTCGAGATTACGAAGCTCTTCGCACACCCAACATTTTTCTCCCCAATGACGCTGTCGAAAGGATGACCCGAGAAATTCGACACATGGAAACTATCAACAAACCTCCCAGCCAGGTGCGTTCTGCTCACAAGTAATATCATGTTTTTTTTTCTAACCTTATTTATCTGGATTTAATATAGGCCGATCGATGTGCAGATGCACACAAGGCTGCTGACGATAAGAGGAATGAATCCACTTGGAAGGGATGTGACGACACCGGCCTCATGGGATGCTGCTGTCGACATGATGCAGCCATCTCCATGGCGAACATTTACAAGTCTGGCGAGCTTAGGGCGCTTCCACTAGCTTTACTCAAGGCATTACTCACACTGGATCCTGATCGACCTGTCGGAGTTCTTTACGACATTGGATGCTCACTTAAGAAATACATTCAAAATGTAAGTGTTCATCCACACATCACATTCACATTGATGGACTATTAACTATCCCTACAACTAGCGAGGTCTTCTGCCGGAACTTATGAAGAACACGACTTTTGGGACATCAATATTTCACGCATATGTCCACAACTGGACTTGTCAATTGGATTACAATCCTCGCCTCAACAACGGGTGGGGCTTGTCCGACGGAGAAGGTTTGGAGCGAATGTGGTCGTATCTATCGCCACTTGTGAGTCCTTTGAGGTATGCAAGTCGTAATCACCGATTGACGGCGATCACGCATCGGTTGAGGCATCATAACACAAAGGGCATCCGACAACTATGTGAGTGAGCTATCTGAGTTACTTGCCTTAGATGCATGTCTCACCATAAAAACCTCAGCCCAATGGCTCAGTCGAAAGTTTAAACTCGCAACGAAACAAAGCCGGGAGACCCAAGCCGAACTCTCACAACTACTATCTTCTCAAAACCCATTCAAGAGCCCCGGACGTAACTACACAACCAAATATTTCAAGGCGCAATGGAATCATCAACAAACGTTCCGAGCAGATCACACGGACGAAAAGCAGGAACAGAGGGACAAACTCATCAAGATTTACGAACATCAGATAACAATTGATGAGCTAAGGCAAGTACTCCCATCTAGAACCTCCACATAATCTTGGGTATCCCTATTCTTTTTGCTGATAGAAAGGAATGTAGAGAGAGCTTGCTCGATCCCGAACTGGATCTCTTATCCGAAAAAGAAGTAAAAAAAATTGTCAAAAAGATCGAAAATGTTTCAAAGAAGCTCATCAAAGACGCAAAGGAAGCCGAGGCCAAGGGTTTGGGTTTACCTTCTGGTGAAGAGAACTGTAAGTACACAGTTCCAATTTTTGATGTAACATAGATCATTGTTTAAACTGATGCAATTCTTGACTATGAAAGGTGACGAGCAGAGGCTGCTCCTGCTACTCTGGAATTCGAAGAACGCACTATATATGCAAGCAGTCCAACTCCATGCAGAGCGCCAGCCGCTCCTGGATGCAAAGCGGCTTGGCACACCTTTAGGAACCGAGCTGAAAGAAAAAATTCTCAAGGCTATTGGAAATCGTCGCCCAGCGGTTCAAAGACTCATTGACAAGTGTAACAAACTATTTTCCGAATACTTGTCGAAATTTCCGGATCAGAAATCGACTAACTCGGCATTATATCCTCTCAACTACGATGAGTTCTCTTCATGGCCGCTGGATCACCAATTTTGGAACGATGGGCTTTATTTTCAGTCATCGGCTCCCTGGGCTATTGAGCCCAATGTGCGATTGGGAATAAACTGTGTTCTCATCTTGAACAGGATCCAAGAAGAGTTTCAGTTACTTGCTCAAGAACTGGCAAGGGCAGTAGGATGGGCAATTGATTACTATGATCGCATCAAGAAAACAGTATCCGAGCTGGGAAAGCGTGAGTAACTATCCATGTCAACAAAAACGTGAGGATAATGTGTCCTGATAGTCTGATTTGCTTTGTAGGTATCGACCTACTTAGAATTCAGCCGGAAGATGTTGAATTAGATCGGTTTGATGACTTGGTCCTACATGGGTTGAGTCGCAGAAACAAGCTTAGGTTAATTCGGAAAGAACTACGACATCGACAGTTACGCCACATGGTGCTAGTTGAAGAGTGGAATCCACATGTTTTATGGCTTGCTCAACATTGCCAGCCTAGTGAACACCGAAAGTCGATGCTCCGCGATTGGGATAACATGAAAAAAGATATGGAATTAGATAAAGCAAGTGGGTTTGTAAAGCAACCTGAAGTAGACACTCAACTGGAGGAGGCAGTACTTGGGGAGGGAGCTGATGATGGCGAGGATGTAGATGAGAATGTGATTTCTGGAGCACATCAAGAGGAAAACATTGACGATGCCGCAGGGGGGGCAGACATTGACGATGAGATTGAAAATGGTGGTGATGATATTCCAGTTTCTTAATTCCTACTTGATTTGAACAGCCATATCTTATTTTCTTCATTTTTTTTACTCCACTGTGTTCCCACCTACACTTTTACCGTGACTTGACTTGTACAATTTTTTTTTCATTGTGTTCTTTTTTCACTGTTATATTGCTTTTTTTCACTGCCATACAATTTTGCACTTGCACCTCTCTGTGGTTTTTTATGCTTACTTAGTATATGATAAATCAATTGCTCACATAACACTATAATTGCAACAACATTTTTAGCCACCGGTGTTTTTAGCAGGATTACAACCGTACCACTGCACAACCAAGCTTTTATCCTCTATCTTCTTGAGAAACAAACTCCAATGTGACTCATGTGTTGTGTTGTAGATTGTCTGACAGAAATGGGGTTGTGCTGTGTTGTACAAAATAAAATTTGACCTTGTGTAATCGTTATGAGGGGTTTGTAACTATGAGGGGTTTTGTAACAGTCTTGTATCAATATGGGTAGCATCTGGCCGATCCGACACCGGTGTGATCCGACAGGGTGCAGATCATGTCAGGTGAGTGCTCGTGATGTGATGTGTTGTAAGGCTGAGTGAGGGGATGACATGACGGGGGGGTGCCCCGGTGGGGGGGGGCAACACTGGGTCTCTACCTTACGCTGCGCTATCTGCATTATCCCAGTAATGTAGTGCACTTGATTCCTTCCCTGATACATTAACATTATCTGTAGTGGCAAGTTTTTCTTTCAGCCAGTAGTGTAATGGTGAAGTTTTTGTGTGTAATGAATGGATAAAGTAATGCATTATCAGATTATCCAGAGGTCAAGCAACCCTAAACAAATTTAAATGGCAGAAAGCCTCTCCTTTTGAGCTTTGGCAGCAACACATGCCATGAATGTCCAACAAGTATCACATGTCTTACCAATATTTATGATTTTTTCAAAAACAAAAAAAAATACAAGTTGCTGATAGTGTAATGAGCATGAAAAAAAATTCCAAGGAAAAATGGATAATGTAATGTGCAAAAAATTTCCAAACATTATGGGGAAAGTAGTGATAATGAGTGGAAATTCACTACTTTATCTTTACACTACCATTACGGGTAATGTAACTACCCAGTGTTGGGGGGGGGGGGGGGGAGCGGTGCAGAATGAGGGACTTAGAGAGAATTTGGGTGGTCGAAATCCCAGAGTTTCTAGGACTTATGGAGATTCTGGAGTCTCTGAAATACAGGCTCAATCTGACCCCCTAGCAAGTATAAACACATCGATATATGTAACGGTATAGTATATTACTTTATAGTGGCCACAGGTGGCCTGAGAGGGGGGAGGAAGAAGGGATTGAGTTGTGTTACATAATCAATCAGACGTAGGGTCAATGAAACCATAGATGTTGTAAGATAGTTCAGCAAGAACTAACTCTAGTTCAGCCTCAGGCTGGTGATGTGTTGGGGAGGAGGTACTGCTCTGATTTGGCATTCAAGGTAAGGGAGGGAACGGGGCTCGATTTCTTCCACTTGCTGTTGAGTACCACCAGCTTTCCGTAGAAAACCCTCTTGACAGTATCAGGTGCAGAACAATCCTCCTCCTGGACTGAGTGTCCAAGGACTCCTGACACTGAAATTTTTAATACATGTTCCACCTGTCACACACAGCCTCTTTCAAGATGAATTTTCTCTAGAAATCTGGCTCAAGTATCAGTTCAACTTTGCCAATAAGGTATCATCTTCAGGTAATGGAGTCCCTCATGGTTTCTAAACTTGCCCTGGCAAGCTTTAAGTTTTACAGCCTCATCTTGTTGGGTGGGATTCCATCCTGGCACTGGAGTCTGGCAGCTAGTTTCATGGAAAAACACAAGATTTTTACTTGAAATCATCAAATTAACATTACTGATAGCCTGCAATATCATTTTTTCTTGGTCCAGGGTTTGTGTAAGTTGAGTTGCTAACTATAGTTACTGGCCAGGTGGGAATGGTGGCGTCAAAAGAGCATTTACGTACAACCCCTCCCCCGATAGCTCAGTTGGAAGAGCGCGAGACTGTAATGGATAAGATCATCTTGAGGTCGCTGGTTCGATCCCGGCTCGGGGGATTTGGTGTGGTGGAAGACCCATCCATTTGTCTTCGTCTGATGACAGCGATCTTTTTTGAAAAAGATTGACTCACAATGAGCAAATTCTAAGAAAGACGATCAGCTCGATCGTTGTGTTTTGCCCGAACATAACAAAATCACCGGTGAACAAGATGACATTTTCATATCCGATCCAGATAGAAAGGTCGATTGGACAGGCACGAAGGGAAGACACAGAATTGTCAAGTGGACGTGTGTGACTCTACCTGCCCCATCCGGCTGTTGCGTTTGGGAACGCTATGCATGTCAGATGCGTGTAGAGCTTCTCAGAGATGAAATGACCCTCAGCAAGATATGTAGTTGTATTTGATGTTCGAATAATTTCACACAGTTTTGGTGCTGTCTTTAGCTGTTTTTGCCAAAGTGTAAGCAAAAATGAACGCATTGGCTCGCTGACAAAAAGAACCTCCAAAACCTATATTCAATCGAGATAACAAACACTTTCTTTCCTTTCTTATAAACTGAAATGGTGGGTTGAGGACGTTTAAGATGAACTGTATCACTAAATAGGCTAAATAAAGTCTTCTGGTCGAGCAACGTGGGTGCGTATCGTTGACTGTTATACATACATGTTCGAAAGCTCAGAAAAATAAATCTACAACACAGATACGTTATGCATTACATCACAGGATCATTGCCAGAAGTGTCCTGGGAACGCGACAAGAAATTGACCTCTTAAATTATTTTTAGAAGTTTATTATTCTGCGCTTCAACAACTGATTTATGGCCCCGTAACCCGTAGATGATCAGTCCAAGAAGAAGAAAATTCTTCTGTGCCTTTGTTAGGTGCGTTCGAGATTTGGACGATGACTGCAAGACCTATTATAACTTGTGCTACCATCGCGATTGTCAGTAGTACGAAGATGTTTCCAGCCGATGCTTGATTGTAAACGAAGTCAGCTGAGAAGAGGTTGTACTCGTCTCCGAAACCCTCGACCTGTGGACGAAAGATGTCAGGCGAGTTTCTCAGGATGAGGTGAATGTCTAGTGCAGCAGTGGGATACACTTACAAAACATGCCAATGACAAGACAGCTGAAAATCCAAGAGTCCAACCAAGACCTAGGATCCATAGCGTCGCCGAGAACAGCTTTTCACTCCGAAACCTGTGTTGGCTGAGTTTTTGGGGAGCATAGACAGGTAGGCAGCCGAATATGTGACAGACCAGCGCAACGATCGAAATGAGCCACCAAGAGAAGAAAACCGGCGGCAGGTCGGGCATCATGATTTCCAGATGTGCCGAATTGATATCCTTGCCCCCTCGCAAGATCGTCGTGTTGTAATCAGGTGGAAACGCGGCGGGTGTGCAATGGAGCTGTTCTCCCTCCGCTGCTTGATAGCACGAACCTATGGTCAACCATGGCAGTCTATATTGTCAGCATGGGAAGATGAAGGAGCACTGAAAATTCTCGATACAAAACAGATGAAGACAGTGCGGACCTAGTAAGCCAAAGTGGAACGACGCGGTATTGTTATTCGCGTCAGAAGACGTGCGATGGATAACCATTATTGTCCCACTCGTCTGTCTCCAGGGGACAAGCCCACAGAGCGAGAAGAGGATCAATATGAGACAGGTAACGCTTAGTAAGAGTGGTGTGGTGTAAAGCAGATGCAGTCGTTGGCGAGAAACGGGACGGGAAGCCATGATGGGTGAAGTTGGGATTGCGGTGAGCTGGGCTGTTGTTTGAAATGAAGCCGTAGGTTGTGCTAGAGATTTGTCAAGTCACCCAGGTATAGACTGGTTCGAGTGGAAGATTCGGAAAGATAGCAGCTGTTGAGATGCTAGAATGTCTGGTCGTGTTTTCGATTTTTTGGAAGAAGGAAATTTAGATGGAAAAACACTAAGCTACTTGGACAGTGTCCCTAATAATGATGTCTCTCAGTCGACCACAAGTAATGTATTAAAAGATTCCAGCTAAAATAATTTCGCCGGCGAATAAATCCGTCTAGGCTGAGTTGGATGGGTCGACTGAGCCCAAGAGGCTTGGCTTACAAGGAAAACAAAAGGAATTCTCTAGACTCAATTATGCCTTTACTGCTGAAAACCGCCCCCCAACCTCCCGATGCTTGGGATTATGGCAAGATGCCCGTTTCGGATGTGACATACATATGACCGGCATAAAATGGGGCCCATTGTAGGCTATTGTTGGCCCACCTACCAACACCGGCAAAACCCCCCTTTGTTTTGGAATTGGTTAGCCCTGCACCAACCAACCAAGGTAAGCTCAAGCATATCAAGGACCGTAGAAAGGCCTCAGGTGATACGGTACATGGATATCCATTATACATTCCGCCATCCAAACAGATTGCGCACAACGTTTGTATGCAACAAAGGGGGATGCGGTAGCCTTAGGATGGTGTAAATAAGCACGTAAATATACGTACATTTACATAGTCATAGCAAGAAAGGAATCCAGTCATCAACATAACATCCGGCCAATGTATCGATACAACCTCGAACAACACTAACTTCGTCTGCCACAGAGTCAGGTGACCTGCTGTAGAAGGCCCGTTCAATTTGGAGCGTATCGAGATACATATATGCCCTGAGGTTCGATGGGTTATCGATAAAACAAAGGGAATGTGCATGTAGAACAGATATGAAAGGGTTGAAGATAGCTAAGGTAACGCCGATATTCAACCGAGCAAGTCGATGGGATCAACATTGTACGAGAGTATCTAGTGACTCGTGAGGGTGGGCAAGATCTGGCAAGGTATATTATACTCCTTGTCGAGATGTGCATATTTGGCCCTCCAACAAATAACATCACATTCAATTGTTCTTTATCTTGAGTGCCGGTGCCACCATTCGGATCTCTTGCGTACCCACCTCTGGTTGTTGGCGGCACATGATTTGAAAAAATTGCACAGCAAAGGGGCGCCTTTAAACCAGTCAAAGGCTGGCTCGCTACCGCGGGTCTCCCTGTTAAATGATGTGAACAAATATGTTCTCTTATTGGATTCAGAGGACTACTAAGTAAGATAAAGAAAAAACCTGATGAAAGAGAATCAAGGGGGCTAAATTCATTGTGGGCCTGGCCAGATTGCTTTCCATGGCTTTGATGTCAATCACGCAGGAATGTAGCATTTAGCTTCGCCTTGTCTTGATACATTGTTTCACAGAATGAACACAATTGATACCATCAAAGCCTCTCCCTCGGCGTCCCCGAGGGACACTCTCCATAGGAGAGGCTTATGCATGAAGTCCACATGTTGGCTGGAACAGGAGGGATTTTCAGGCCCAAAATCACTTACAAGTCCATTAAAAATTATTGCATCAGTCAAAAATAAATCTTGGCAGGGCAAATTGTAGCCTTGATCCTTGCGCACATTCTGAGCCATTGAGAAAATCCTCATTTCAAATTTAACTAACTGTAAGTCCAAAAGAAGAGAAAAAGACAACAGTCTTTTATCACAAGCAGAATGCAGAAAAAGCTGTACTCTGAACATCAATATACAGATTTTCATGGTTATAAAGGCAATCAGCAGCCTGATTTGGATTGTGGATCCCCCAAATTTGCCACTCATGTCAATCCTGGATTCACAAAATTCTTTCTCAGACCAACATACTTGTTCAATACTTTCAAGCTGATTTTCATTTTTCTTGATCTTTCCAAAGATATTGAGCAAGATCTCTTGGGTAGGGATGATAATTGGGCAGGTTTGGCAATGGTGGGCCAGCTATGCTAACCGTAGCGTTAGCGTGGCGTAGAGCAGCAAAAATGTGCTACATTGTAGCGTAGTGTTAGCGGAAAATCCACATTTATGTGCTAACGCTACACGCAAAGGGCAAAAGAGTGCGTTAGCACAGAAATTTGGAATTGTGCTAATGCTACGTGCTCAGGGCACAAAAAAGTGCCCACTAGGGTGCACTACAGCGCTTTTTAGCGGTTTTTTGCCTTTTTTGCTCCTAAAAGCGCTGTAGCGCAGCATAGCGGCTGTAGCGGTGTGCTAACACTACCCAGAAAAAAGCTGCCTGTTAGCGGCGGTACAGTGTAGTGTAGTGTAGCAGCGGTAGCGGCACACTAACACTACAGAAAAAGGGCACCTTTTAGCGCCGCTACACTAACACAAAGTGGCCCTTTAGCTTAGTGTAGCGTAAAGGCCCACCGTTGGGTTTGGGCCACCCACAGGCTAGCCTGGCTCTGCCTACAAGTTAATTGCATAGGCCAGGCCGGGTGCAAATAGCTAATTTTGGTGTTTGAACCAAATCCATGTCCACAGTAAGATGGACACAGGCTGTGCAGCTGCACTCTATTGGGTGTGCTGGACAGCAGAGAGTGTGAGCAACCTGTTGTGTTCCGGCCATGGGTCAGGGTGTCTGATGTGCAAAAAATGAACAAAAGATAAAAGGATGTTTTTTGTACTTACACCTGGAGAATCAGGATTCTTGAACAGTAGACTGACAGATGTTTGCAGCAGTATCATGAAGCATCTGGATGTACTGCTAACACCCCCAGGCACCCTCTGGGAAGCCTGTGTTGACCCATGCTGTTTAATGAGCTTACCTGGCCAGGCCAAAAACCAAAGAATTTACAAAAGAGCTGCCTGTGTCTGATCCAAAAGTTAAAACCAGCCAGGTTTGGGCAGCCTATTGGTAACCTGGCCCAATTATTAGCCTTACTATTAGGACTGGAAAAATGAGACCTTTAACAAAAGAAACCGCAGATCCTTTTATTTGGCTCTGGCCCAGGGTTGTAGCTGTTATGGGCTGGTGAGGGCAGTTTGAAGGGAAACTCACCAGACAAAGTGTCATTCCTGTCCCAGCCAAAAATTAGACATTTTACCCAAGCCCCCCCCTACAGTTGTGTCAAGCTTCACTCACCAGCAGGCAAAGCTTTTCTTGCCTGCCTAGACCCAGGTGAGTGGGTTGGATAAGCTAGCCATTGTGGGCTATGTAAATTTTGGGGCTTGGGCCATTGGTGGGCTAGATAAGTTTTTAGTATGTGTCATAGCAGCAGCAAAGAAATATGTGTGATAAGGTGGATCCAGGAGTCAGCAGTAGCTATCAGCAACAAAATCTGTATAACAAAGTTGATTTAGGAGTCAGGACTATCCTTGAATCTCAGACATAGAATTTCAAAGCAAACTTTCAGTCTTCAGGAAAGGAGAAAATGGTGGTTTGCTTGTATGCCATGGTACATACACTGCACTGTAAATAACTAAACTTGTACCACTGGACACCGCTGAAATGAATTGGTGGGGTTAAAAATTGACATTTCTCATAAAGCTGTTTATCCTAAAACATCAACCACATTGTGAGAACTCCTTTGGGATGGGTTGGCAGTCCTTGAGGGGGAAATAACAATACAATATTTCACTAGGTAATATTTACTGTTACGGGTGGTTTGAAAGACCTGCCCCTCTATTTACTACACAAGAATTCTGACAACAATTTATTTTATTGTTGTGGCGTAACTTTATGATGGAGAAAACTTTATATGTAGTAGTCTCTATCAGACCTAGATCAGTATGTAATTCAATACAAGATGGTTGTACAACCTTTACACGGTGAGTATGAGTGTGAAAACAATCCAAGTGGAATATTTTATAGGTTTTTATGGTTTTACAGTGATTCTGGATAAGTAGTGAAACTGTTGGTTGTTGTTGTTGATGTTGGTGTTGGTGTGGTTGTTCTTACTGGTGTTGACTAGTCCTTTAATGTTGAATTTGTTGATGTTGATGACCACTGAGCTAGCTGGGTGAAGATGGTAATGACCACTGAGCTAGTTGGGTATGAACTGGCTGGGTGATGATGGGGGGGATTGGTGAAGGAGAGGCCTCCTTATATATTCTTTTCTGAGTTATTTTTGCTGGTGGTGATGCAGTTGAGGTGATTTTGCTGGTGGTGACCTTGTGGGTTGCACTGCCTCCTGCAAAGAGTACATGCATTGAGCTAATTATGCAGTGGAAATAACTAAATATGGTACTACTGTATGTAAGGATTGCATAACTGGTTGCACTGCCTGGTGGAGGTTTTCCGTACACGTGCATATATGCAAGGTCTGCGTACATTTAATTGAGTTACTAAGTGGAGGCCTAATGGTTGCACGCATGCATGCAAGAGTTGCATAACTGATCTGCACTACTGGTGGAGGCCTGCTGATGTAATAATATATGTGTATGTACTTATATATATGTGGTAAACTACTGTTAAATACTAATTAATGACTAGTTATGGTATGGCTTTAACCTTTATATTGGATTATCTTCTAAACTAATAGGGATAGAGGTATAGCTGTAGTGAGTGACTATGGGTAAAATTGTATGTAGATTCTGATTATGCAATAATATATTCATATATTTAAGTGGTTTAGGTTATAAGGTAAGGGTTTTGGCAGTTTTGTTGCGCACAACAGCCTGGACCACCACAACGTGAGCTGCTGTAAAGCTTCAAAACACATGATCACCCCAATTGAATTCCAATTTCCAATACTGGAAATATAACCAGAATATATATATATTGGCAAAATGAGCTCACAGAAAAGCTCAATTATGATCCCCCATATTGTCCTCTGGAATACCTATTCTATACAGTTGAAAATGCAAGTAGTGAAAACCAAAATTGAAATATAAATAGAGCTTCTGATGTTATGAATTATCTGAGGGGTTTCTGGTTTATTCAGTTTTATATGATTCTTTCTGGTTACTCTGGTCTGTGAAGACTATATCTGCATCTCTGGTTTAATCTGGGTTCTTAATAAAGTGAGTCTTTATTTCTTTAATTATCCTCTGATATGGTTTTGAGGAGTGTATAAATAATATTCTTATTATTTATTCTGGTTTCAATGTAAGGATGATGAGTAAAGGGTATAGTGATATCTCTTATTACTATTCAGTATCTGGTATGTAAGGGTTTATGAAAGCTAAATAACGTCTCTACTTATTTCTCAGATGCTGACATGTAAGGGGGTTGATGAATGCTAAATAAGATCTCTACTTATTTTTCTGGTGCAGACATGGGGAGGAAGGAAGGAAAACATGAGCCAGGAGGGCCTCTATTCATAGACAAAATCACTGATCAGAATGATTGATCTGACTGGGTAATGACCAAAATTTGATGATTTGATGATGTCATGCTATGAATTTAATGATCTACAGCTGCGAAGGTAATGATGTGCAGCTGTAGAGTTAATGAAGTGCAGATGTGAAATTAATGACCTACTGCTATGTTGGTCAATGATGTCATCTGTGTGATTAATGATCTTTATTTTGTGAAATAATGATGAGTGGCTGAGTAATTAATGGTATGTGGCTATGAAATAATGAAGAACTGATTTGTAATTAATGATGAGCAGCTGTGTAATTAATGATGTGCTGCTGAATGATTAATTGGTTTAATGCTATTTGGATCTTGATCTTTTTGAGTGGTTTTCTGCCCTATGATTAAATAATTTATTTCTAATTCTTCCTTGATTAATATATTATGTTCAAGATCTGTTTTGTAAATATATACATAATTTTTAATCTTCATTGTATGTTTTATGCCTTTATTCTGTGTGGTGTAAATATATATAAGATAAAAAATTAAGAAAAATAACTATGATTTTGAGAATAAAAGGCTTTATCATGACTATTTGATATTATTACCTGTTTTCTTGATTTTATATTTACTATTTTAATATTTTAATATGTCTTTTATATTCTTTATGGGTTTGATTGGTCTTACCACAACGTGTAGCAGGACTAAAAGTGTGCTAACACTACTGTGTTGGCATGCTTCTTTGAGGGCTGCTATGCTCACGTTAGTGGGACGTTTAGCATAGTGTAGATTAGTGGCCCATCATCTTTTGTGGCACCTCCCAAGGTTGATTTAACATCTCAGCAATACAAAATACATTCAAAAATTTGAAGAGAACATGCATGGGTATACTTATTGAATCTATGGCACTCAACATGGGCTTATATTCTTGGTGTAAAATTAAGCTTAAACTTTGGGACAGGTTGGAAAGGGAACTGGGAAGTAGATACCTAAATAGATAGATTTGACATGCAACCTGCAATGTGAACACTTTCTCCTCAAGGGACAAATGATAAATGATCACACATGAACAAGTTGATAACTTTACTGCAACAAGCTCTTTGCATGCATTGCAAGGAGATGCAAAGGAAATGAGTGATTGAACCAATGTACCAGTAGCACTATCATCAGCTCATTTAGTCCTTCATAATCTACTTGAGGAAACAAAAGACCAAACATTCTTCAAACCTGTTTTTGATTGTCTAAAGCAACTGGTATCAAGGTAGTCTAACAATAACAACTGTTGTCGAACCTCAGGCTGTACCTACACCCAGACAAGAAAAAGAGACATAGAAGACTGCAAAGACATCTAAGAAAGCTGAAGACTTCTTGAAAAAGTAGTTTAACCTAGGCTTCGAGAGCCTTTTGAGCCATTTTCAAGGCGCCCTCGAAGGTTTGATTACCACCAATGAAGCCGGACGCGTGTACAAAGATGGAGCCGGGGATGCCGATGAGCTCACTGAGAGCAGCATCGCGGACACCTCGCCAAGCTTCTGGCAGTGCCTTCCGTGACTCAAATCCGCCAGGAGTCACTGGGATGGCTTGGATTCTCCAGTTCTGACTTTCGTCTGCATACAGCACGTATAAAGGCCGCTCGGATGATTCTGTGAGTGTAGTCTTCTCCAAGGTGTGCAGGTGATCCTAAAAACATGCAAAAAAGACAATCAGGATAAACGCGCTTTATATGTGCGTGTTTAGCCCCACCATGTTCTGGAGGTATCACACGAACGTACCTTCCATGGGCAAAAGCTATCGAAGATGAGCACCCTTCCGAACTTGTCTTGAGCCTGATTAGTAAAACGGTTCTCTAATGCTTTGACAACCAACTCTCGTCCAGGCAACCAGGCTTTGGAGAAATAATCTAGGCGTGAGAAGAATTCAGATCCAGCGAGACTGGAGGCTTTCTCAAATTGACTCTGTAGGAATAAAAATACACAATGACGTTAGGATAGCTCTTTTCAATGAGTTTTTGCATCCCATCTTGCGTATCTGGTCAATCCTGCATGAATGCCGATCAAAGTTGATGTTCGAAGGTAGATAAAATAATTTAACTGACATCTAGGATTGTGTTGTTGACCGGCTCATTCCACGCGGGGTTCAGCTATTTCAGTCAGAGAATCAGTGGAAAGGGCGGATATGACAGTGAGTGAATTGTTTGTCAATGTCACGTATAAAGAGACAAGGTATGGGGGTATTACATGACTGATGCGACTGCTCAAGTCGGTATGAGATTGGTATCTCAGTTTGACTGGCAGGTTGGTAGGTTTGCCGTCCTGGTCAACAGTTTCGTACCGTTCTATGCCCTGATGGAGATGTCACGGGTTTGATGATTATTACGATTATGGACTCTGGTGAATCAGTGTTCGAAACTCACATTGTCGATCGCGTCGATCGCCTCAATGAAGCCATCGTACAATTTCGCCACAAGGATTGGAACAGTTGGGTTATCGGTTGGAAGGCCTAAATGGCTGGCCACGATTTCTGATCCGAAATGTCTATGGCGACGAAAATCAAAACCAAATTTAGTAAAAGATCATTGACATCACTCTAGATCAAACCATAGCTGGTAATCAATAGTTTGAAGAATAAGAGACAAGAACAGATGTCAGGGTGGGCTGTGCTTACTTGTAGATCAGACCAGCGGATGAAAGCTTTGTGCGATGATCTCCTGAATAAGTCTCTGAGAACTCGCGCTGATGGTGATCGTAACGATGACGTGCTGGGTCGTATTGCCCACCTACATCAACAACGATATCGCAAGTTTCAAGGACAGCAGGGTCTCTGGTTCTCACCAAACCTATCGAAAAAAAAAAGAAAGCAGTCGAATGTGATCAGCCGAGAGTTTATTATTAAATAAAAAACGCAAAAGAGACAGACGAGATGATTTGAATTTCTCCAAGCTCCTTAATAAGCTCACAGCCAACGCCTCATCGGCATGAAAAGTACCGCTATGGGTTCCGATCAGAGGTGATTCGAGTCGAGGCTTCTTGACCTCTCCAGAAGACACGTTTTCCGAGGCCATCTTGAAAGTTCGGAAATAGCTTGGCTTAACAAACGATCGGTGGTGGCAGAGTGGATCGAAGGGAGTGTTCCAGAGGGCTCTTGTGTACCAGTTGGTACGTCGGAATGAGCTGATGGTTGCCGTTGTAACTATTTACTAGTAAGATGAAAAATCGATTGGTTGTTGGTTGCCTTTGATGTACTTTACCCAAGACAGAACTAAAAAGGGTTTTGTACTTGGATTTTATTCAATTTTCAGTCAAGCATACACTGTTAAGCCAGTTTCTGACATCAGCCAGAACTTCAAACCTTTTTTTTTTGGTGGACGATCGAAGAAATTGACGGGAGAAAAGTGATGGCACCACCACCACCAACAAAACACTCACCAAATATCAGAGCAGGTCAACAACACCACAGGACATAACTCAAGATACCCTCAAACCATCACACACCCGGTATGAGTCAACAGCCAAACATCGTCACCACCACTCAAGTCGGCCCTAGAGGTATCCCAGAGGCTCTGTTCATCGTCAGCTTTCCTTTCACTTCAACTCGACACAAAGGCTGTTCTCTCTCGATCGACATCTCCAGTGACATTTCTCTCCAACAAAAACCCCACTAACTATTGGTATATTCATCAATACTAAAATCATTTATTGACGGACGAACTTGCACGATTTTAAACAGGATAATGTCGAAGAGTACTTAGGTGGACCGGATGTAGAGATCGAACCTGCTCTACAAGCTTGGCAACAAATGATTGGGTATGTGAGTTCTTTTCCAACAATCTTGCTGACCTCTCGTACAATTTACTGATTCCTGTCTCTTTTTTACATTCATGTCCGGTGTCGAGTTCAGGAAGTACCAATTCATGGAAAAGAGTACACTACAGAAGCAGTTAGGATTCGAGGAGAAGATCCCCGAACTGGAACGGACATTAGAAGCTGTAGAGCTATTGCAACAGAAGAAGGTATCCATCTACTAAACTGGTTTCCAATTTTAAAATGATCAATTTTAATGGACGAGTTCTTGACAATGTTTTTTTAACTCTGTTTTATGACTGAATATAGGAAGCTAGTGAGACACTAGAGACTCACTTCGAATTGGCGGATACGGTGTACACCAGCGCAGTTGTAGAGCCCGTTGAAGAAGTATATCTATGGCTTGGCGTGAGCATGATGTTTTCTTCCTTTTCTATCTCTAAGCTGATTTTGGCCACTGAGTCATGCGATTTGGTTATTCAGGCAAACACCATGCTCGCATACCCGCTATCAGAGGCTAGGGAGCTGCTAAAGAATAAGATCGACTCGGCCAAATTAAAGTTAGAGGAAGTCTCGGAGGAACAGGCCTATCTGAGGAACCAGATCACCACCACCCAGGTCAACATTGCTAGGGTCTTTAATTGGGACGTCAAGAGACGCAAAGAACGCCGCGCTAAAGAGTCGGAGAATAATCCTAAAACTACTTGAATCATCTGGTAAGAGTCGGAGAATAATCCTAAAACTACTTGAATCATCTGGTCGTGGAGCAGGATGCCTGCTGTCTGCTTGCTTCGTTCCTGTTTGCCTATAGTAAAATTAATGTTTATCGTCGATTGCCACCTGAGCTTGGGAGCCGGCGGATTGATCCAAACTGACCATGTACTATTTGCTTGTGAATGATTGAAAGCCAAATGCATAGCAAAAGGACCCCGGCAAGCCCTAGGATGGGGGGTGTTGAAAAACTCCAAATTTCGGCAAAATTCATACCTGGGGGCCCCGTGGGGAGTTGATTTTTTTCAGGAAATTCATTCCTTTTCAAGAGTCTGCTCAAGCTAAAATCTCCTAAAAGAAAGGGGGGGGGGGCATAAAATGTCCAATCTGGGGCCAAACACCAAGATTTTATTGGTTTTAACTACATTCACATACCTGAAACAGCCTCTTTCATGAGTACCATTTGAACACAAATCACAAATTCATGGCCATTTCAAGAGTATGATTTTGGCATTCTCGCCACCTGGGTCAGAAATTTTCAATGAAGGAATTATTCCCCAAGATCATCTGTGTAGTACCTGAATCTGAAAATCTATTCTTGGGCCCTGTTTGAGTTTGTTATACTTGATCTCACAAATGTGCGTAGCTGCATGCCAAATGGTATGTATTGATGGTGTCACCAACAGTGCAACAGATACAAGACATGTATTTGTATCAGATTGTATTGTCTTTATTTTGAGCCTGATGCCGGTATCAGGACTTTCTTGGTTGGTATGAAAATCCATTGTCTTGGATTCAGATTTACAAATGAAAAAAAAAATTGTCTTTGTTTTTTTTTTTCTTTTTTCTTCAATACAGCCAGATATCTTGTGTATCAAATACGTCTTTGGTGGGATCAGTCATCTGAGACAATACAGAATACTTGTCTCACTTTCCAAAGACGATACATGTGTATTGTCTCAGGAAAGTGAGACAACACAAATCCGGTATTTTTGGGTATTAAAATTCTGAGACAATAGTAATACAAATAAACGCCTGATACCATCTTGTATTGTCTCTGTTGCACTGTTGGTGTCACCCCTGAGCAGTTTGAAGTAGTCAGAGAAACCCTTCAGACTTAGAGATGTCACTTCATACCCGGGTACCTGTAGCGGGTGCGGGTACCTGCCTCAAAAATCCAATATTTTGGACACCCACACCCGCCAGGTCTTCCAGGGCAGGTACCCGGGTACCTGCATGTGTGGAGGATTTTTTGCAGGCAAATATACCCAGAAACCCGTCTCAATGACTGCAGGGATTCCTCTGGTCGTCGAGAATGTACACCGTCTCAAAGGCCGTAGGGCTCCCTCCGGCCTCAACAAAGCAACCCATGTAGGACACCAGCCGGTTTCCTACATGGGTTGCTGACACCTTTGTACAGCCCAACACACCCAAAAAAGGGAGTGTTGGACCACCAATGATAATTTAAATTCTTCAGGGGAAGTATTCCCAGGGTGGGTGTAAGGCGGGTACCTGGGTACCTGCCTTTTTTTAACCCAAATGTTGACACCCGCTGTGATGGTGAGAGCACACTGCGACCAAAGCTTTGGCCAAATTGTTTAGGCGTATGCAGAATGCTCACGGCTGATGCGGAAAGCATGCAGAGCTGAGGAAAGCGGTGGCGCATTAGTAGAAAGTCTAGCTTTCTGAAGCGCGGGAAAGCGGGAAGCAGGCCAAATGTGCAAGGTTCCAAAAAGCTTGCTGCGGGGAATCCGGGTTTCATGGCCGACTGCGGACTGGGGTTTACCGTATGCTGCGGAGGGGCTACAAAGGAGCGGGAGCACTGAGAGGTGGAAGCGGGGTTTGGAGCGGACCAGAGGCGGAAGCGGCGGTGGGAGACCTATCCAAAGGACGGCCAGAGGAGTGCACTGACTGGCAGGCGTTGGAGGGGTGACAAGCGGAGTGCAAGGGAGTAACAGCGGAGGACAGTGTGGGAAGCAGGAGGAAACTTGAGTGTGGGATAGCTGGCAAGAGTGGAGTACGGATTAGAAGGGGGAGACTTATGACTCAGAACATATCAGAATAACAGAGTGACTTAGGAGTGAATTGTGTATTAGCCTAAAGAATTGTTAGAGATAGAAAGAGTTAGAGTATTACCAACCAAAACCAAGAAAAGAATAGTTATTTAACCTACCTACAAGACCATCAAGCAAGTTACCCCGGACAACAAACCGGAGTAGGACGTGTTGCAGAGCAGAGAAGTGCAAGAAATCTCCTCGGGCACGCCTTACTTTCCACACCACACCTGTTTCTGGGTACCCGCTTTGGAAAACAGGTACCTGCAAACGGGTAACGGGTACCTGCTGACATCTCTAGTCAGACTACTCACCCTACCACAATTACTTCAAAGAAATACTACTTATATCAGATTTAAAGGAGTGGAACTTTCCTGAAGTAGGAAAGGTATCATCCTCCAAATACATCCTCAATTAATGAAGACCATTGTAGACTTTTCAGTTTCATATTCTTGAGAATTATCTTCTTGACTGGTGATCACATTTACCTCACCTCTCATACAAAAAAAGGATATACTCAGAGGATCTCTGGCCATAAAGATAGATCCCTGGTATTGGATTATGTAGTTTGTGGGATCTCTTCTGTGTTTGTGAGATTTTACTGGATCTCTCATCTCTTTTCATGAGATCCTGGAACTAAATTTTCTATGATCCTTCTGATCAACTTGACAATTTTCCCATAGTAAAACATCATCAGTAACTTCGAAATGCATAAAGACACTATTGGATAATGAATACCAATCAATAACAGTTGTCAAATATGCCCATCATGAATATTCAACTTGAATTTATTGAAACTGAATTTATCATCATACCACTTCTTGGAAAACTCACAGAAAAGACAAAATCTGGGCCATCAAGCCCCAATCTGTTTTCCCTTTTCTTCATTCAATTAATCAGAGCCAAAGGAAAACAGTAAGTCGATACAAACTCTCAATTCAAATTCAATCTTGTTCAAATCAACCAAACTAGTATATATTATGTTTTCTTTACCTCTTTTGTTTCCTGATTCCAGTTCTCTAATCAATATTCTTTTTTTTTTTTTACTTTTTCACTAACAGTAACAGCCCCTTGTCTGTCACATAACAGTTTCATACTTTTCATTTCATGTTTTCAGTTTCTCCTGGTTTACTCATGTTTCTTTCAACTCGCTCATTTCTTTTATTTTTCCAGTTAAAACTCCTTGTCTTTATAAGTCTGGGTAGAATTAACCCAATATTTTGTCTGGGGTTAGAAGTTAGTATTTTTTTGTCATTTTTTCAAATAATCAAAGAAAAAGCAAAAATGTTTTGTACTCAATCTTTTTGATGCAATATTGCAACTGAGCCAGAGAAGGGGAAGCAAGTGACTGGGAAACAAAGCTCAAGGGCAAGAACAAAATTCAAGAGGCCCAGTTTAGAAGGGCAATTTCTGCTAGCTTGTGTGGCGGAAAAGTGCACACATTACAAGAGGCTGTATTAGTGGCCTCAGGGATCAGAAACAGAAGAAAAGATGATTGTACTTCTCTGTGAGCAAGCTACTAGATAGGCTACTGCACTAGAAAAAGTATTGGGTCACATTTTCCCCAGACACAATAAAATTGCCTGGTGGAGTCTTTATACCTTTCCACCTAATGTGGATATGTCTTTGGTTCATCCATGGATGACTGAGTATCTGGTCTTGCAATCCAGTCTGGGCACTGGCCCAAGGCATGTGTGTCCCAGTGCCACCGGGGCTTGGGTGTGTGCCCAGGGGGCTTGAGTTGGCAGGTCGTGCGGTGTGGGATACATTATGGGTTCCCATCCAACAACTTTAAATTTTTTAAATTTTTCTTGTATATACAATAATATTACACCAAATATGGCTCCAGGAAGGGATTCCAGGGCCAAAATCACCCTAGAGGAGCAGGCTTGGACACATGTAACCTCCCTGTGTTGCATGTTACACCCCTCTTTCACTCACAGGTAGGGGGGTCAAGCACCCTTATGCAACGGTGGGCCGCTACGCTACACTACGCTATTTGACCACTAACTGTTAGTGTAGCGGCCTTTTTTTTCTCTAGAAGATCTGTAGTGTTAGCGCACGCTAAACACCGCTGAGCTAACTGCCAGCGTAGCGTGAAATTTTTATCTCAAATTTTCTGTAGTGTTAGCTTCAAATAATCACCGCTAAACTAACAGGTAGTGTAACTTTTTTTTCACTAACAAAATTTTGACTAACAGATAGCGTAACTGAGTTGACGCTAACATTTAGCGTAACTGAGTTGATGCTAACATTTAGCGTAACTGGTCCCACACTTCGCTACACTATATTTTAAGCTACACTACACAATGGTGGACAAATAAAAAATTTCAAGTGAGAAAACAACACAAATGCATGCCTTGAGGTGGAATTGAACACTTGACATGACAGGTTACACAGCTGTCAATCGGCTGTCGCATCAGCTTGCTGCGACACCTGTCGCTGCGGATCGAGTTCAAGTTTGAGCCCGCATCCTGCTGCGACATCCGCAGCGACAGACCAAACTTGGGTGCGACTGAGTTGAACACCGATGCGACAGTAGATACTAGAGCCGATCAGTCACTAATCCTCGGCACCCATCATCGATTAGACCGTTGGTCTTCCTTCTAAGCGAACCGAAACCCATCCGTCTCTAGACTCTCGATTAAGCGCCTCGTGTTCGCCTCTAGCCTGGTCAACTATTTCACACCTCGATCATTCTCAACGCCGACGCGACAAAAGACACCACTGGAAAGTCAAGAATCGTCGGTGCCACCTCCTTTTATCCCAACAAACCAGTGCATCATTACTTCGACCCTTCGGATTCGCAAGTAGCCCAATACCCAGCCCTCTTCTGATTTGCGATTGAACACCCTTGCTTTTGTGGCTAGGTGAAATTGTTTTGAGACCAACAGCTTGTTAGTGATCGGGATGATGACCGCCTGCTTGTAGGTCTCAAAACAGTATCATCAGAAGCACTTCAAATTCATATCTTTGGGGTCCGGTCTCGTTGCACAATCAACCCAACAACATCAATCTCAAACAACTCACTTCAAACGATCCTCTCTAACCGATCTCCCAGGAACCTCGCCACCCTGATTTTCTCTAGTTTCAAGCACACCGGATCGATTTCGCAATGGTACTATGCCAATGTACAGTTTGCCGCATTAATCTCGCTGGATACAATTCCGATGGTCAGGAAATATACGGCAAACACATCTCCTCTCGAAATGAAGCCAAACATCGTTTGTCTGATTTC